GGGAGTTTACTCTAGTATAGGTTAGCAAAATTCAGCTGAACTAGCTCTGGTATAGGCTGAGGGTTCCAGGTCCCAGCGACACGTCCCCACCCAGAAGTTCCCAAAGTACCCCCCCCCCCGGGCTTCTAATGGCGTTTTGGAGAGCTTACTGCGCGCTGTAATGTTGCGTAAATTGGATGAGCAAAACCGAGCCCGGAGTGTGCAGAAACAAAATCATTTTTTTTGAGAAACACACGAATGTTGCAATTTATCAAACAGAACGACGGTGAAGGTGAACATAGCTCATACCCTGGTGGAAAACTACAATGATTTCGGACACACCGCAGGTTACTCTGTGTAAGTGACTGCATTAAATGGCGTCCTAAAATGCAACTCTTAAGCATATGGAAAACCGAACCGAAAGTCACAGTTTTTTATCTCGTTCGAAGCTTCCAAACAAACTTTAGGAATAAAGAACCTAAATTAGATCGACGGTAACTTGTGGAATTTGAAATGTTGGGATCTACGAGACAATAGCTGAAAGTTACTCCCATACGTTTTCTGTAATCGGAAAATCCAAACAGAGCGTGAAGTGTCACGCTTCAACTGCGCATGTCGATTCGACATTTCCCGGTGTATCTAATCGAACGTTCCCATTCTTGTCTCCTGAGGCCACGCTCCTTTTGGTCAGCACCAAGAATCGCAACGCAACCTCTGCGAAGGTCCAACAAACACAGCGGTCAAACGTCGGGCATGCGCAAATGGGTACATTTTTGGCAGCCGCGAGCCAACTTCCCGCGCAGAAATTTGAAGGAAAACATGGGAAACAACCAGTGTCACGCAAAATTTACCAAAAAAAATTGAAAAGTTCATAGAAATCTGTAAAAGGGAAAGAAAGCAAGTAAAAGGAAAACTTAAGACTTTTCAGACACAAAGTTTACTAAGTTACCGGTGTTCCGTTGATTTACCATTTTGTTTTGAGCTTTACCAGAAAAGTTTATAAGTCTTGAAAACCCGTGTCACGCTACGAGCCGACGGCGTAGTATATTTTTATTTGTTTTTATTAATCATTCGATGCGTGATGCCGGAAACGGAGGACAAACGGTGTGTAAAAAAAGGAAAAATGGGAGAAGAAAAAGACGATTGCAGTGATTCGGCTTTGCTCAGACGAGCTGGAAAAATTTTGGTAAGGACTGTGGGGATTCCTTCCGGATCCTGGATTTGTCTGAAGCACAGGAGCGAGATGAATCGAAACGACAAACGATGTTCATGTCCATCGTCATGGGGGCATAGCTCACCAAAACACCGATCCCAAACCGCCTGTACCTGGTCTTTGACCAGGTGGGAAAATCTTTTCTAAACTACAAACTGGGAAAGACTGATGCAGTAAATGCAAAGTCCAGGCGAACAAAAAATTCAAGGAACACGGAA